CTTGTCTGCCTGATTGTTCTTGACTCGGCCCGTCTGACTACGCTCTGCCTACTCCTTTGTGTCTTGTCTGCCCAATGATTCCTGACCCGGCCCGCCTGACCACTCCACCTCACCAGCCCTGACTGCTCTTATCTGTGTACATTCCGTTATCAGTTGGAGGTTTGGTTTTGTTATATTGTGCGTTATATTTGTGTATAACCCTTAATAAATTATATTGTTACACCATACTTGAGCCTGCGTTTCCCTGTGTCAGTTCACGCATCTCTGGTCTTACAGGGAGCCCTGCCATTTCCCTCCTATACCTGTTCCAGAGACATCCTAAAATTTGGGATTTACTTTCATTTCACGCATGGTGATGATTTTAAACAGTACAAATAGAGATGGTCAATCTCCCTAACGGGGGCTCACACACCTGACAAGCTGTCAGGTACCTTGGTTGGAGGCCAAGTTTACAAGAAGGCTTCCCTTGCAGCTTTAATCTGAGCTCCTCTGAATGTGGTGACAGAGGTACAAAGCTCAAAGAAGCATGGGTGCTGGTAGCTTGATAGCAGGGGACTGCCAAAGTCAGGGATGTAGTCAAGGTGAGCCAGGGTCAGGGGCGGACTGACCATTTGGGAACATGGGCACTGCTCGAGGGCCCGGGGTCAGTAGGGGGCCCCATGAGATGCCCCTGGTACCTTTCATAGGCTTTTTTAGGTGTGGTTTGAGTGTGGGCGAGGACAAAGGGGCCCATGATCCCCTATTGCCTGGGGGCCCCATGAGTTGTCAGTCTGCCCCTGGCCAGGGTCATACACAGTGAGACAGCAGCGTAGTCAGTAGGTAGGCTGGGGTCGGTACCAAGGAAGAAGGAAGAGCGAGGTCCAGTAGCAAGCTGAGGTCAGCAAAAGGAGATCAGGCAGAGAATAGTCTAAGGCAAGCTGAGGTCAGAATCCACAGAGCAAGGTCAGGAAGAAGCCGGGTCAGCAATGGAAGATCAGTCAGTACAGCAGGAACACAGGGACACAGATCACAAGAAGCTGATGAACATCCAGCGGTTAGTGCACAGCAGAGTCTCCTTTAAATAGGCAGCTTGGTGCCAATGCGTGAGGACTTGCGCACAGAAATGAACCTATGTGTCAGTGCACTGTTGGCTGTAGAAGAATTAGCATTAGCTATACTAGTTTCCTGACACCAACGTTCTAATCCCTCTCCACTCTATCCAAAACAAAAGAAGTTTTTGCCTTTAGTTAATTTGGTTTAAAAAAAGACACAAGTCCATCTAGTTCAACCAATAAAAGTAAAAAAATATATATATACAATCCTATATATACAATTCTATACCAACAGTTGATCCAGAGGAAGGCAAAAAAAACCCCAGCAAAGCATGATCCAATTTGCTCCAGCAGGGGAAAAAAATCCTTCCTGATCCCCCAAGAGGCAATTGGATATTCCCTGGATCAACTTTACCTATAAATGTTAGTATCCAGTTATGTTATGTGCATGTAGGAAATAATCTAGGCCTTTTTCAAGCAATCTACTGAGTTGGCCAGAACCAACTCTTGAGGGATTCTTTTCCACATTTTCACAGCTCTTACTGTGAAGAAACCTTTCTGTATTTGGAGATTAAATTTATACTTTAAGTCCATTCCTGGTGCTACAGGGACGTATCACTTAACATCAGCGACAGTGTGTTGAAATGCCACCTCATCTCGCTGGTCCCTAGTAAACTCATTTGACACTTATGATGGTAGGCCCAAATGGGGAGAACTTACCACATTCTTGAAGAGGACTCATATGCTACAGTGGTTCAGAAGCAAGTAACATATAGGTACACAGCTGAAGCCAGTATGACACAGGTGCCCAGGCGTTTTAGTGGTTGCACTGGAGAACCTACCCTATCATCATTTCTAATGACCTTGAAAACTGATCACCACAACTCCTATCTTGGAATCAGCTGCTAATGTGTTTTCCCCTTTAGGTATAGACTGGATCACAATGTCAGTGGCAGTGAACTTGAAATATCATATGGCTTTCCTGCCATGCCTGACCATTAGCAACCTTTAAGCAAGTGCACTCACTCATTCCTTCCAGCTAATACAGTTCCATCCCAAATATCTTGTAGCGTTAGTCCCACACAAATGGATAGATTTCATATTTATGGAAAAATGTATAATTCATTACAGATCCCAGTCCAAGGTTAGTGACAGAGAGGGGGGTTCTGTGTGCCATTGTGTCCAAAAATTATGGGCTCAGTTCCTTGAAGGCCATAGACCTCACTACATTTATCCTTTAGTACAGGACCACACTCTCCTTATTTCCACACCCACTAGCCACATCTTCTCATACCCATAGGTGGGGAACACAAAAACCTCACCAAAGTAGTAAACTCCTCTAGCAGAGACAAAGAAGCTGATACCAAGTCAAATACATGAATGGAAGGAAACACCAAAGAGCAATTAAAAACCAGTAGAAAATAAATAATCAATGTGTCTTGGGAGCCAAAGCATCTCCTCTGAACTAACTGTACTCCTATGACCCACAGTAGAAGTAGGGCCAAAGGAGCTTTGGCCCTACTTCTCTATTAACCAAAATATCATCAATAAAATTTGATTTTTCTCTTTTTTTAATGAACTAACCATCTGTTTGAAAACTAGACTACATTTGGAAAGAAAGATCAGTTCTAAGACCATAATATACAGAGCTGTATTTGTAAATCCATCTTTCCAGGTACGTTGGCTAAGATTTTATCTGCGCCAGATTCCTCAGACACAGAACCTGAGATGTATTACAGGGAGCATTAATGAGGTAATGTCTCATCAGCGGCACTGCCATGCGGGGATGAGTGACTAACCCCAAGAACTGCTTCAGCCTTTTATATAGCGCCAAGCCCATTAACCATGTCATGCTCCGAGATTGTGGGCAATGACCTCACATGACTCTATGCTGCCTTTTAAGAACACTGACTATTTATGTCCGTTTATTTTACTTGCTCATGGAAATGACTAGCCATAGTATATTTTACTATATGACTGTCCTTGTAAAAAAAAATATAATGCACAATATTCAGTACATTTTACATCTGGTGTAAACGGAAACCAGAATGAAATTGTGGAGGACAGTGGTTGGCAATCATTACACCACAGACTAAATGACTGCCTCCGGGGGAAGGACTCAGATTCACTTAATTTATTAGCAGGAATCAATCTTTTGTCACTTCCTTTATTTTTCTTTACCTCAAATATAAAATCTTCTAAGCAAATAAAATCTTTTGAATTTGTAAAAAGGTACACAAAAAGACATTGTGGTTTTAAGACTAATAAAGGTTTAAAGCAGGGGTACTTAATTAAAATTAGTGGGGGTCCGGTCAATAAAATGTTCTTCCAGTGGAGGCCCGAGTGTCATGTTGGTTCTATGACTCAGATCTCTCACATCACAACCTCCCATGCACATTACAGTTCCCACCCCCATCCACCACCCTTTTAAATCACAGAACGCCCCGTTACAGAATGCCCCATTAAAGAACCCCCATCACCGACTGATCCATTACAGACCGTCCCATCATACACCCCTAAATCAAATACCCCCAATCACAGACCCCTCATCACAGATCCTCTCCATGACAAACCCCTCAGCACAGATCCCCTCTATCACAGAACCCTCAGCACAGACTCCCCTCAATCACAGATCCCTCAGCGCAGATCCCCCCCCCCAATCACAGACCCCTCCTCATCACAAATCGTCCCATCAATGTCCTTTCTGCATATTACAGATTCCTGTCCCTTTCATAACATTGCAGCACTCCCCCCCTCCCCCCACTGTCCTACCTTATTCACACATGGGAAGCACAGCAGGTCTGGACATAGGACTTTTCATGTAAGTGGCAGGCATATGATTGCTTGGACCGCCTGGCAATCAATCACCCGCAACCAGTCAAACGCTTCCTAACATGAAAAGTCCCGCCCTATGTCCAGACCTGCCGTGCTTCCCGTCTTCTGTGAATAGGGTAGGACAGTGTGGGGAGGGGGCAGTGCTGTGATGTTATGAAAGGGACAGTCCTGCTGTGCCTCAAATGTTGAGCCCTTCCTTGAGGACAGCAGCGGTGGGGTGAGCAGGCAGCTGGGAGAGGACTACTGTTTGGTGAGGATGGGGTCAGGAAAGGAATGTTTCTGGGTCCGGATCTGGACTACGATCTGCCATTTAGTGATGCCTGGTCTAAAAATTAACTCTACTTTTGTTCAGAGAAAAACAATTTCCCTGGGTGAGTTGAGCAAACTTTGTAGCAGATTCCTGCTTGTTTCTGTTCTGAAAAAATAGAGGTTTGTTTCACCATGTCCTTTGCAGACTGAAAGGGAAGGTCTGCCTTATTATAATCACCTGGTGCTCCAATGAGAAAAGCTGCAGGGTCTGCATCCCTTTAGAAATATTTAATCCTTGGGGGAGTATCTCACCAAAACTGAAATTCCTATTGCAGAGGATGCCTAAAATCCGACATCTGTCTTAGCGCAGACTGGGAAAAATCAGTGAGACAATCACACCAGCAGGAAATTACATTGGCAGCACAGTGGCTAAATAGTTAGCACTTCTGCCTGGCAGCACTAGGGTTTTTTGGATCGAATCCCAACTATGGCACTACCTGCCTGGAGTTTGCATGTTCTCCCTGTGCCTGTGTGGGTTTCCTCCCACACTCCAAAGACATGCTAGGGCTAATTGGCTCCTGTTTAAATTGGCCCTACTATGTGTATGTATGAATGTGAGTTAGGGACCTTAGACAGGGGCGAAATGACCATTTGGAAACTCGGGCACTGCCTGAGGGCCTGGGGTCAGTAGGGGGCCCCATGAGATACCCCTGGTACCTTTTTCATAGGCTTTTTTGAGGTTGGACAAGGACACAGGGGCCCCATGATCCCCTATTGCCCGGGGGCCCCATGAGTTGTCAGTCCGCCCCTAACCTTAGATTGTAAGCTCTGTTATAATTCATCCCAAAGGTGTTCTATCGGTGTTGAGATCAGGACTCTTTGCAGGCCAGTCAAGTTCCTCCAACCCAAACTCTCTCATCCATGTCTTTATGGGTCTTGCTTTGTGCACTGGTGTGCAGTCATGTTGGAACAGAAAGGAGCCATCCCCAAACTCTTCCCACAAAGTTGGGAGCACAAGATTGTCCATCAGACTGTTAGACGAAGAAGTGTGATTGGTCACTTCAGAGAGCATGTCTCCACTGCTCTAAAGTCCAGTGGTGACGTGCTTTTATGCCACTGTATCCATCGCTTTGCATTGCACTTGGTGATGTCAGGCTTGGATGCAGCTGCTCGGCCATGGAAACCCATTCCATGAAGCTCTCTACGCACTGTTGTTGTGCTAATCTGAAGGCCACATGAAGTTTGGAGGTCTTTAGCTATTGACTCTGCAGACAGTTGTTGACTTTTGCACACTGTGTGCTTCAGCATGCGCTGACCCCTCTCTGTCATTTTACGTGGCCTACCACTTCATGGCTGAGTTGCTGTTGTTCCCAGTTGCTTTCACTTTGTTATAATACCACTAACAGTTGACCGTGGAATATTTAGTAGCCAGGAAATGTCACGGATGGACTTATTGCACAGGTGACAACCTATCACAGGACCACGCTTGGAGTCACTGAGCTCCTGAGAGCGACCCATTCTTTCACAAATGTTTGTAGAAGCAGTCTGCATGCCTAGGGGCTTGAATTTATAAACCTGTGGCCATGGAGGTGATTGGAACACCTGTAAAGTGATGCGTAAATTGACAGAACTATATAAGTACTAGTAAATAATAATGTAATAAATAAAATAGTATTTGTGGAGGTATTCTTACACCAACAATGTACAGAATGCCTCCAGGCTGCCTTTTTGTATTTAATTTTTTGACAATTATAGATAATTACAGCAGCTTTAGATTGAAGTGGAAAGGTACATTTTAAGAACATTAAATTACAAACTGACTTGGCAATTTTTATGCTTAATTTTATTTTAAATGAAAGAAGAATTCCCCTTTAACCACTTTACGTACAAGGCTATATTTAATTTTTTCACACACATTAAAAGCTGCATTTTTTGGTGGAAAATTACTTAGAATCTCCAAATATTTAATATTTTCTGAGAACCCCTTAGAATACTGTGGTGGAAGTTGCAATTTTTTATGTGGCACACTATTGGCATAGCTATAGTGAGGAACAGAAGTATTTGAACACCTGCGATTTTGTAAATTCTCCCACTTAGAAATCATGGAGGGGTCTGAAATTCACATTGTAGGTGCATTCCCACTCTGAGAGACAGAATTTAAAAAAAAAATTCAGGAAATCACATTGTATGATTTTTAAATGTATTTTGGGGCACCCAAGGACAATATAACACATTTTTTTGGATAAAATATAAAATATGCGGTTGCGTTGATATAGATACCAGACATGTCACGTTTCTTTTTAATATTAATATTAATTTTAATAGATGACAATTTAAAGCCTTTACATTTGATCAGTTTAGTGTTACCCATGAATGATGACCATAGAATTATTGTTGTCACTCCAGTGTTTGTGGCGATACCTCAGATGAATGGCGCAAACGCTGTTTACATACACATGTTGGACCTATGTGCGTTTGCATTTGTTTGCATATTCAGAGGAACAGGGATGCTTTTAATTTTTTTTATTATTTGTATTTATTTTTATACATTCTTTTTTTGTTACCCTTTTTTTCTTTTAACTTTATTGCTATCACAAAAGGATAACCATGATAAAAGCAACAATTTAGAATCCTTAACCATTTTAATTTTTTTTTTTTCTATTTTATTACATTTTTTTTTACCCTTTTTTCATTTAAAGTGGTTCTAAAGTCAGAAGGTTTTTAATGTATTCTATGCATTAGGGTAAAAAACCTTCTGTGTGCAGGAGCCCACCAGACCCCCCAATGCTTTCTTGAGCCCCATCGCGATCCAGTGATGTGCATGAGAGCCCCAGTTCTCCAGGGACTCTCCCTCCTCATTGGTTGAGACAGCAGTAGGAGCCAATGGCTCCCATTGCTGTCAATCACAGCCAGTGAGCCAATGAGGAGAGAGAGGGGGCAGGAATAACATGTTTGTTATTTAAAAAAAAAAAAATCATTGACTCTAATATTACTTTAATGTTATTTTTATCAGAAGAAGCTAACCTCTGAAAAAGTGACAATACAAAAGTCTTTACCAGTTTAGAGTTAATCTTTAATTTCTTAAAATTATTTTTATTTATTTTATTACAAATTATTTTTTTTTACCCTTCTTTCATGTAACTTTATTGCTATCACAACAGAGTAACCACAGCAAGGTGACCATTTAAAAACCTTACAAGTGATCAATGTCACATTAATCATGAGCCCTGGTTCACACTGATGAGGTGCAGAATTCGCAGCGTTTTCAGTGTGAATTCCGCACCGCATCAGAATCACACCCTGTTCATGCGAACTGCTGCAGGTGTGTATGTTAAGTTAAGAACACCCCGAAAGCGGTCCGCTAAATGCAGTGCGATGTGAAGAATTGGATTGCTTAGGTGTGAATTCCTATGCAATTCTAGTGTGGACCCAAAAAAGGGCCCTGCACATTTTTGGTGCAGGTGCAGTGCGATTAGAGCCACACATAATGTATGACTCCAATTGCACGCACAGAAATCGCAGGTGATTTGCGGTGCGGTTCCTGTGCGAATCACATGCAATATACCGCACAAGTGTGAACCCAGGCTGAATGATGACCCTAGAATTATTCCTCTCACCCAAACGTTCGTGGCAATACCTCACATGTGTGACACAATTGCTATTTACATACGTGCTGGGTATATGCATACATTTGCATGTGTGTGGGTGCTATACTTTTTTTATTATTTTTATCTATTTTATTACAATTAATGTTCCCCCTTTTTTTCATTTAACTTTATTGCTATCACAAGTGGGCTATCCACTGTAAAAGTGATCCAGGTGGCTGTAAAGCTGCCTTGATCTGTTTTACTGAACAGCCAATGATCGGCTGAAACAAATGACACCAAGAGCATGGCTACAGCGGTGAGCTTGTTTTAACCTCCTCGGCGGTATGATTCTTTCCGATTTTTGTGCTGAAAGCGGTACCATTTTTTTGCATGGAAATATGTAGTTTTTTATTGTAGGCCTGTAATTTTTAGGAATAACTCACTGAAATCTGTCCGAACAAGAGTCTAGTAAACATCACGGATATGATAAAACTTGAAACACGAAATCATAAATTATAATTTAATAAATAATCATAAAAAATAATAATATAATAATAAATTTAATTCAATAATATAATCAAACCAAAAACACTGAAATTTGAAATACAGAGGCAAATTCGCACATCGCTGAGCAAAGTCGCAAAATTGTTTTCAGTGTCTGATGACGAATTTCCCCACGAATCATCACTCAATTCTGCAAGTGGTTCTGATTTACTATCGCTGTTCTAAAACCGCTTTTGACGTAAAGGGACGCTTTTTGGACGCCATGGACTTTTCTAAGTTTCCAGGCAGAAAGAACAGTCAAAATGCAGGCAGGTCACAGGACAAAGCAGTAGGGACAAAATATATGTGAAATGCATTGAAACAGCAATGACATCAAAAATTTCAAATTTCCCGCCGGTTCAGGTGCCCGTACGTCCCGACGTCACAGGGACCGGAACAGAGAAGCCGGATGCCGGCATCGGCTGGAGGAGATGGACGGGGACGCTGCAGGGGACACATCGCGGGAGCGAAGGACAAGGTAAGTGCTGCAGGGACCCCCTGAGCAACGCCGCATGGTAAGCCCGAGTGTAGCTCGGGGTTACCGCTCTTGGTACCGAGCTACACTCGGGAAAACCGCTAGGAGGTTAATGGCAGTACTAGTGTCGTTGGTTCGAATCCCAGCCATGGCACCTCCTGCGTGGAGTTTGCATGTTCTCCCTGTGCCTGCGTGGGTTTCCTCCGGGTACTCTAGTTTCCTCCCACCCTCCAAAGACATGCTGGTAGGTGAATTGGCTCCTGTCTAAATTGTGGCCCTAGAATGTGTATGTATGATTGTGAGTTAGGACCTTAGACTGTACATCCCTTGAGGGTTAGGGACTGATGTGAATGTACAATATATATGTAAAGTGCTGCGTAACTTGACGGCGCTATATAAGTACCTCAAACAAATAAATAAATAATAAACCACTTCAAGTCCAGGATGTTTTAAAACGGCCTAAGGATGTGAAGTGGTTAAGTATATAAAGCCTTCTAGTTGATGCAATGGTCGCCTAATTGTCGGTCTAGGCCTGTCTCAATAGCAGGGGCAGATTGACAACTCATGGGGGCAATAGGGGATCATGGGGCCCCTGAGTCCTTGCCCAAACTCAAAAAAGCCTATGAAAAAGGTACCAGGGGCATCTCATGGGGCCCCCTACTGACCCTGGGCCCTCGGGCAGTGCCTGAGTTTCCAAATGGTCAGTCCGCCCCTGCTAAATAGTTATTTTATTTTCTGCGTGAAGTTCTCCTTTAATACATACAAATACAAGCTGGAATGTACAGTACCATCTGTAAAAAATAAACAATAATAGTCTTCAGGGTGAGTATAAGTGTCTTTGAAAAGTGTGAATTGGAGTAATCTGCAGATTGTAACTGAGAATAGATAAATCACTTGTAATCTGAATCTGAAGAATTCTGCAATATGACAAGTCATGCTACCGGCGGGTATAACACACTTACTGCACAAGGCATAGAAAACGTTAACCCGGTACGACAGGATAATGGTTTGAAGTTTCAGAACTCCCTGAGTGTCCTGACTCTTGATCTGTTTTCAAGTTGACTTGCCAGCTACCTACAGGTCTGTTGTGTTTCAAATTTTCACTCTGGCCTCGCATACCGCAAGCCAACTTTTCGGTAATAAAATCTTGTACCTGGATTCATGATAATCTGATTTGCATATCTGTGAGCGCAGCGTAATTGCATTAAAAGTATAGGATTTCTGTCTTAATGCATGTAATTATTAGCATATGCGATATACTTCAATCCAACAAATTTTCTTTCAAGCGC